TCTCTGAGTTCCGTGTATATTTTTTATGAGAAGTGAATAAAAGCTTTCTTATTTCTCCCCACATTCTCACAGAGAACCTAGTGTTCTTGAGCCATCAGAAGGAGCTACAACTTTAGATTACCAGTTCCACATGGGGTAAAAGAGACGGTGTGGTGGATGTGAGCCCTTTGAATTCTTCATCAGAATTCAAAGAATTCAGAATTCTGTGGAGATTTTGCCCCAGCTTAATCCAGGTTTTGGACTCCTGGTATGGCACTGTAGGGTAAGCACTAGACTGTGAACCACAAGGTCGGCACTTCAAACACACCAGCTGCTCCTTGGAAACCCTGTACAGGGCCCTAAGAGTTGGAAGCTACTCGACAGCGCTTAACAACAATCTAGGTTTTAGCTCTGAGAGCGTAGTGGTTTTGAATCGGGCTGTGAACCTCAAGGTCAGCAGTTCGAAACTACCAGCTGTTCGGCGGGAGAAAGATGAAGTTTTCTGCTCCCGTAAAGATTTACAGCCTCGCTATGGGTACAGGGTCGCTATGGGTCGGAACGACTCCACAGCACATAACAACAACAAGTGGCTAGGTGGTAGAAATCTCACCTTCCAATTAGGAGATCTGGATTCAATTCCCAGCCAATGTCTTTCATGCATAGCCACACCCATCTGCTGGCGGAAGTCTGCATGTTGCTGGAATGTTGAATAGATGTCAACAGAGCTTTCAGTCTAAAATGACTAAGAATAGCCTGCGGGATCTACTCCTAAAACTTAGCCTATGGAGTACAACAGTCATCCCCAGGCCAGGCAGCAGTTCATTCCATTGTGTATGGGGTCAACTCGAGGGCAGCTAACAACGATTCAGATTCTACAGGTAGGGGTGCCCTTCATAGCTTCCTGTACCTCCTTTAATCCCACCGGTCCTTTGTTCTCACAAATAATGGCGACTTTTTAACAGAAAGTCTGTGCCTGGGAAACTGTGCTGGGTCTGACCCTCGACAAGTACTTCTTCTGGTCAGCCTCTTAAACCACTATCTCATCCCTGAGTTGCCTTGGGGAAAATGCAGCTGCCCATCTCCATATACTTCCCCACCACACTCAGCAAAGCCAAGAGTGAGCCACTTTCACATCAGCTTTTTGACTCAACTATGTCCTGGTGTGGCACTGTAGGATAAGCACTGGACTGCTAACCATAACTGTTCAAATCCACCAGCAGCTCCTCAGAAACCCTCTACAGGGTTGCTACAAATCAGAACTGACTTGACAGCACTTAACAACATCAACATGTCCTTCAGCAAGTCTTTAATTCCTATTTCATCAAATTTGTCACTATTAAGAGTAGACTAGCATAAGACAAGAAAACTCATTATTACTGTGTGGTACGATTTGCTGAGTACTCTTCAGTGAGTTCTTTTCATTCTGAGATTTTTATTTGTGAATTAGGAACGTTGAACCAAATGACCTCTATGGGCTCTAACATCAGTGTATCTACTTATTATCTGCTAAGTGTGCCCTACTCCACCACACCTTCCTTTTACCTCTACTCCAGGCAGGACATCAGAATACTGGGTCTCTTGGTTTTAAGTCAGCTTCTGGATGTGACACTAATGCAAATGAGATATTAGAAGACTCACCAAACATTAGCCTTTGCAGCTGGTTGCTGTTGTTGGTGTTAAGTGCCATCGAGTTAGTTCTGACTCATAGTGACCCTGTATAGGGTTTCTGAGGAGTGGCTGATGAGTCTGAACTACCGACCTTGTGGTTCAACCCGACCTTGCTGTCTAGTGCTTTATACCACAGCACCACACCAGGAGTCCTATTTTGTTGTTGTTAAGTGCCGTCAAGTCATTTCTAACTCACAGCGACCCTGTATAGGGTTTCCAAGGAGTGGCTGTTGAGCTTGAATCGCTGCCCTTGTGGTTCAAACTGATTTAGCAGTCCAGCACATTAACCCACAGCACTACACCAGAGCGCCAGAGCTCCTTAGGGACCTCAAATTATTCACTGCCTAAATGGTGTACCTTCAGACAAGTAAGATAATATTTTCCCCAGATGTAAATAGGAAAACCGTGGACTAGAAATGCTAAATGCACAAGGGTTCTGACTGTCTTCATAATAAAAAGAAGCCTAGATGTCAAACCTTCCACTTCCTCACATTGTTCTATCTCCACATTACCACACTGCTAAGAAAGTGCATTATTTCGAGCGTCAGCCAAAGCTTTTAAAGGGATTTTTGTTGTTTTTTAAGTTGCCATCTGTTTCAATGAGTGTTGGTCCTATGTGTGTCAGAGTAGAATCGCTGAGTTTTTGCAAGTAGATTCTCGTGGCTTTCTTACAAGGAGTCTCTGGGTGGGCTAGAACCATCAATACTTCAGTTAGTAGCTGGGTGCATTAATCATTTATACTACCCATGGATTCCTTGTTGTTGTTATGTGCCGTCAAGTTGATTCTGACTCAGAATTCTGACTCAGAGCTACCTTGTATAGATAGGGATTCCAAGGAGCAGCTAGTGGGTTTGAACCACCTTTTGGTTCACAGTCCAGTGCTTATCCAAAATGGTCATATCAGGATTCCATGGACTCTTTAAAAGGTATTATTAAATCAAAAATCAAATCTTTATGAAAGCAAATTGTAATTAAAGCCCCTTAGTAGTTATTATTTATGATCAAAAGGTGATAGTAAAAGCTTAGAAACTCAATTTTTTACCAACTAGAAAACTAGCATCTAACTCCCACCTACAACCTAGTGTACGACTAGATTAAAAATCACTCAAAATTAGCAAAAACATTCCAGTCCCATATATACGGCACCTTAGGAGTAACTCCCCGTTCTGCTCAATGACAGGTAATCTTCACACATTGACACATGCTGACATTATTGTTGTTAAGTGCCCAAGTTAGTTTTGACTCATAACCACCCGAGGAGCGGCCAGTGGGTTTGAACAGCCAACCATGTGGTTAGCAGTCCAGTGCTTATCCTGAGTAGCTCACCAGGACTCATATATGTTTATACTGTTGTTGTTGTTAAGTGATGCTGAGTCAGTTCCGACCCATAGCAACCCTGTACAGGGTTTCCGAGGAGTGGTTGGTGAGCTTGATCTGCTGACCATGTGGTTCAAACTGATTTTGCAGTTCAGCAAATTAACCCACAACACCACACCAAGACATAGATCTACCGATTTTTAATAGATCTGTCCATTGTTAATAAGAATCTACAGAAGCTGAAGTGTTTCATTTATCTTCAAAATTTCTGTGTTATTGCTCTAACTATAAAGTGATTTATTTTAAAAATACAAGTGTCTTTTTAAAGTTAAATTCAATTTTCCCTATGTGTTTAAGAACCTCTTTCAGGTTGAGAAATACATTTAAATTTCCTAAGCCAAAATGACTATATTTTCCTCAATAACTAACATAACATTTTCTAGAAATGTGCTCACAGAGAAAACTATCATTTCCAACTTGTACTAAAATTCACATATATGAATTTTAACATTCACTTTAGGGATGATTCTGCTTTTGTATATGATCAATCTCAACTCATTTAATTCCCCTACAAAATCAACACAAGCCACCCAGAGAATTAGTGCCAAGGATTTTAAAGTGTACTGAAACATAGTACATAGTTTAAGTAGGGGTTGTTCCAAGTCTAGGGCATCTAAACATCCACGTCTCTCCTTCAGTTCTTCACTAAACACAGAAGTGGTAGGTAAATCAGTACTCTCAAAGGAAGGGGCTGATGTCCTCGCCCACTGATACTGATCAGAAAATAGCACAGCATCATTATGCCACCAATGAGACATGAAATCATTGCCAGGTCTTGTTTTCTTGGCAGGGAGCAGATTGTTCTTCCAACCACCTCAAGGCTGAGTCCACTAGCCCTTTAACCCTGAGAGTTATGTCTTGAATCAAGTCAGCCTCCACACAGGTTCCTGGATAACCCCCAAGATAATGGCCCAGCCATACTCTGATATCTTGGACCCCCAAATCTGAAGCAGTGAGACCTACTGCTGAAGGAGGCTGAAGATTTATTAGATGAACTGCCTTATCTTGATCTATCTGGGGTGTCAACTAGGAATAAGATAAAGGAAGAGCAATTCCCATAGATCACTTAACTAGATAAGAATCTGACAATTTCCTTTGCGATGACTTGACATCCTTGTGTTGTGAAAGACGAAAATTACTTTAACAATCCCAATGGCTCTATCCTGTTGCAACATGTCCTAGGCACCCATCCAAATAATGGCTGCTTGGACTTGTCAGGACTCCAGCACATGTCCTAATTCCAGGCATTTATCTTCCTTTTATTCCCTGCATTGCCCTCAGAATTGACAATTCAATGATAAATCACTAGTCCTTGTTACTACAAAAGGCACCTGACTACCTCAGCAAATCCAGACAAGGAAGACAATGGAAAACTGAAAGCCGCTGGTCATCTCAAAAATTCATTTCAACAACAACAACAAAAAACACACACTCATTTACAAAAAAGAAAAAAGCAAATTCAGGGATAAATGACATTCTTATTGCCAGGGATAAGGTAGCTATAGAACAGCCAAAGGGCAGCAACAGATGACTGAAATGACTCCATAATTAGAAAATCAATAATCGATATGCACCCATTCTTCAATTTTATTCTAAGTGAAAAATTCACCACTGCAGTGGCAGTGCATGCCCATTCCACACCCCACCACCCCGAGACAGTGGCTTATACCACACAGATCCCCGATTCACTTAACCCTTCCACATCTAGTCACTAACATGCATTGCCTCTGAAACTCCAGAGGTTCCAAAGGATAAGAAGAGCATGCTACTTCTCCTCTCCACATCAGGCATGCAAGTTATGACCCATTTAATCAGTCTTCTGTTGACCACCCATCCACATTTAGTAATTCAGCTTTAAAGACATAACAACAAGTTCTGAGATTTGAGGGATGTACCTGACTCTCTCTCCCCTCCAGTGGTGGTGGAATCTGATCAGCAAAACCAATCTTCCCTGGGTCACCCATAAAGGCACTAACCTCATCCACGTTCTCAAATGCGTTGATGACATCGTACGGCAAACAGGACAGAAGGTCAATCACAAACCACGTCTTCAAGTAGTTCATGCGGATGAGTTTGGGGTCAGAAATCACTTCCCCAGCTGGTCCAACAAACGTGGTATGAAAATTCAGCACAATGTCCACCAAGAAGATGACATCTACGATACTATCCACAACCAGCCAGGCCACATTGTTCTGTCTGGTTTTAAAGGAAACATTGTAAGGGACCAAGATGGCTGTGTAGAAGGTTAAGATCAAGATGATCCAATCCCACGTGGTCTTAAAAACACAGTAATGCAAGATGATGTGAGGAGGAGTCTTTGGTGCCTCTTGCTTGTATTGGGGAAGGATGTCAGAGCCCAGCTGCAAGACCTGTATGGAAACACATGGTAAAGATGAAAATAAGTTAGGATTTACTCACAAGCATCTGAGCAGTAGGTATCTGTCATTAGCAAAAACTTATGACATTCTGGATGGATCATGAAGTCTAAGAACAAGTACTAGAGTAGTATGGAAGAATGGAAGTGAATATTGTTAGTTGTCATCACTCTACTCATGACGACCTTATGTATCAAAACATTGCCTAGTCCTATACCATCTTCATGATCGTTGGCATATTTGAGTCCATCATTGTGATTATTTTACCAGTCCATCTCATTGAGGGTTTCCTTCACTGTTGCTAACCCTCTACCAAACAGGAGCTCCTTTTCTAGAGTCTAGTATATTCTGATTAAATGCCCAAAGCAAGAGATCCAGAGTCTCCTCATCCTTGCTTCTAAGGAGCATGTTGGTTGTAATACGAACATTTATATAATAGAACTATTCATAATGAATCAACAACAAATTATTATTGATTTACTGTGAGCCAAACACTGCATTAATGCTTCACATACATTCATTATCTCACTTAATTACAAACACAATCTTGCTTTATTAGCCAATTATTATACTATGTTACAAGTAAGAAACCGAGGCTCAAGAGAGTTAAGCAAGTTCACTTAACAAATACATATTGCTTTTGCCAGGAACTGTTCTAGGAACCGGGCATCCATACAGCAGTGAAGCAAACAGCTAAATTCCTGCTCTCATGGAACACAGTCTAGTACATAATCCACATAACCAAAAGAATTTCAAATAGTAGTTAGAGCTAAGTATGAGATATGATAGAAAGTGATTTGAGGAGTAGTAGAGTGGAAGTGTTGGGAATGACGCCTGAAAGATATGAAGGAATCAGTCATTCACAACTCTGTGAGTAAAGTATCCTTGGTAGTGTGCAGAACTGACAATGACCCTGAGGTAGAACCAACTTGATATTTTCAGGAAGAGGAAGAATACTAGTGAGGATAAAGCACAGTGAGGGTCCCACAGGAGAAAGCTAAGGCTGTCTGCTCCTTACTGTAAAGATTTACAGCCTCCGAAACACTATGCAGGGTCACTATGAGTCAGAACCAAATGGAAGGTGCTTAATAACAACAATATGAGAACATGTGTAAATGACTTCATGGTACACATAGACCATTCCAAGGAATCCACCAAAAATTGTTTTTTTAAAGTTCTAAACTAATTAAGTAAATTTACACAATACAAGATAAACATGAAAAATCATTGTATTTTTATATATCACAATGAACATAAAGGAGCTCTGGTAGCATAGTGGCTATGAGTCAGGCTGATAACCTCAAATTCAACAGTTGGAAACTACCAGCTGTTCCAGGGTAGAAAGATGAGGCTTTCTGATCCCCTATAGATTTTATAGCCTAGGAAACCCTATGCAGGGTTGCTATGAGTCAAAATCGACTTCACGGCACACTGCCACCAGCACAATGAACACAAAATTGTATAGTACAATTTGCAATATCTTTTAAACAAATTTAGGTATAAATCTAACAAACCATGTATAAGACTTACATGCTGTAAACAACCAAATGCTGATGGAAAAGATTAAAAAAAAAATCGTGATTTACCATGTTTATAAATTAGAAAATTCAACAACAAACTAGAGATGTAAATTCACTCTAAATTAATATATAGGTTTAGTGCAATAGCTATTAAAATCCTAGGAAAAGTTTTATAGATATGTACAATATTATTCTAAAATTTTATGCTGTTGTTAAGTGTTGTTAAGTCAGTTCTGACTCAAAATTACCCTGTATAGAGTTTCTGAGGAACGGCTGGTGGATTTGAACTGACAACCTTATGGTTCAACCCAACCTTGTGGTCCAGTGCTTATCCTACAGTGCTGTACCAGGACTCCAAATTTTATATAGTAAAAGCAAAACATAACTACTATAATAGCTAAGACCATGTTTTAAAACTTTTTGCTGTGAATTGAGTGAAGGTTTACAAAGCAGATCATCATTTTTACATTCAACATATCATATACTTTGCTTCATTACATGGTTGCAATCCCCTCCATGTATAGCCAGTTAACAGTATTTAACTGTATTCACTTATGAACTATCAACACTCACGGAAGCAGCAGTCAAGAAATCAAATGACATGTTGCATTAGGCAAATCTGCTGCACAAGACCTTTTTAAAGTATTGAAGAGCAAAGATGTCAGCTTGACTAAGGTACGCCTGACCCAATCCATGGTATTTTCAATCACCTCATATGCATGCGAAAGCTGGACAGTGAATAAGGAAGACCTTAGAAGAATTGATGCTTCTGAGTTATGATGTTGGAGGAGAATATTGAAAGTGCCATGGGCTGCCAAAAGAACCAATAGATCCGTTTTGGAAGAAGTGCAACCAGAGTGCTCCTTGGAGGCCAAGATGGCCAAACTTCATCTCTCATACTTCAGACATATTGTCAGGAGGGACCAGTCACTGGAAAAGGATATCATGTTTGGTAAGGTGGAGAGTCAGAGAAAAAGAGGAAGACCCCCAATGAAATGGACTGTGCAAATGGCAGAATCGATGGACTCAGGCATGGCAACAGTAGTGAGGTTGGCCCAGGATTGGGCAGTGTTTCGTTCTGCTGTGCATTAGGTCGCTATGGGTCAGTACCAACACGATGGCACCTAACAACAACAACAACTTTCACTATTACGTTCCTCCCTGTGACTCCTGCTACCTTCATCTTTCCTCTGCTAACCTCCCTTTTGTTGTATATTGCCTGTCCTGTCACCCATGTTAACTTTCTAATCTGTGAATAATTCACTCCAACTACCAGCTGTTCCGCGGGAGAAAGATGAGGCGTTCTGCTCCCGTAAAGATTTCCAGCCTCGGAAACCCTGTACAGGGTCGCTATGAGTCGGAACCGACTCCACGGCACTTAACAACAACAACAACAACCCCCATAACCAACATAGAATGCTTCTTTTATCAGGAATACTTTCTCTTAACTTTTTACAACCCAGGTCTCATACAATATTTGTCCTTTTGTGATTGACTCATTTCACTCAGCATAATGTCCTCCAAGTGTTTTGCAGATTCCTTATTCTTTAAGGTTGAATAGTATTCCATTGTGTGTATGTACCAAAATTTGTTTAACCATTCCTCTATTAATGGGCATTTAGGCTGTCTCCATCTTCTTGTGATTGTGTATTTATATCTATTCATGTTCTGGCTCATATTTCTTGTGGTTAGATACCAGTAGAGAGATTGCCAGGTCATACAGTATTTCTAGTTCCAACTTTTTGAGGAAGCACCACACCATTTTCCATAGTGGTCGTACCATTTTACAGTCCCACCAGCAGTGTAGGATAGGCCTATTCATGCTAAAACAATTTTTAATAAGAGGAATAAATTGGGGGAAAAAAATCAGTCTAGCCAATTTCAAGACAGTGTATAGCTACAGTAATTAAGCTTTTTATTAGTATATAGGTTTAAGACAACTGTACTAAACATATACATCATTGTAATAGTATAGAGAACCCAGAAATAGACCTACAAAAGAATGCTTACATTATTTTTACAATGGTGCAGAAGCAATCCAGTGGAGGAAAGATAGCCTTTTCAACAAATAGTGCTAGAAAAAGTGGACACTTACAGGCAAAAACAAAACTAAACCAAAACACCCACTCAACCTAAATCTCACACCATATGCAAAATTAATTTTAAAAATTAACCATAGATATAAATGTAAGAAGTAAAACTTTTCAAGAGAAAGTATGGGAAAAAACTCTTCAAGCTCTAGGGCTAAGCAATATACTCTTAGACTTGACACCAAAAACACATTACACAAAGGAAACGTGGAAAACTTTTGCTCTGAGAAAAGCTCTGTTAATAAGATGAAAGAGAAGCTATGACTGGAAGAAAATATTCTCAAATTAAAAGTATATATCTGACAAAGGACTAATATCTAGAATATATAAACAACACTCAAAACTCAACAGTTTAAAAAATAATAATCCATGGGACATTTTGATCAGATATTCTATAGAAGAATTCTGATCAAAAGGGCATGGGTATAACAGAATTTCAAATTCTCATAAAGCCCAGACTTCTGGATGAACCCTTGAAAATATTTCCATGAAATCATTTTTAAACTTTGATTCTTAAACCAAACCTATCCCTTGAAGTCTTCTTGAAACCAAATAATATTTTAGCTTAATTAGTAAAGAAAATCTGCCTTGAACATTGTGTTCTTTTAGAGAATAATCTATATGGAATGAAATTGACAACAGCCAATTGTAAGGTTTGATAGGAAGCTTAGGGGGCAGTGAGTTGATGTTATTAGTGGGAAAGAAACAATTCCAAAAAGGAATGTGAGGACAGTTGCACAATCAGTGTCACTGGATTGTCCATACAGAAACGACTGAATCGGTGTATGTTCTGATGTGTATATTTTCAATGACACATCAATATATATTTTTAATTGTGCAAATGCATGAAGAGACATTTCACCCAAGAATATATACAATTGACAAGCACATGAAAAGATGTTCAACAGCATTAATCTTTAGGGAAGTGCACACTGCAGTAAGGTGTCATTACACACTGAACAGAATAGCTAAAATAAAAATAACGGATAACTGTAAATGCTGGCGAGGAGATGGATAAATTTTATCGCTTTTATACACCTAGTATAAATCTAAAATGGTACAGCCACCTGAAAAAAAGTTTGGCAGTTTCTTAAACAATTGAACGTTCAACTACCATATGTCACGGCAATTGCATTCTTGGACATTTATCCAAGAAAAACAAAAACTTATGTTCATACAAAAACCTGTACAAGAGTATTTATAGCAACTTTATCATAATAACCCCAAACTAGAAACAACCCAGACGTCGTTCAATGGATGAATGGTTAAACAAACTGTAGAACACCCACACCACAGGATACGACTCAGCAACCAACAGGTACAAATGTTGGTACACACAATAAGCTGAACCAATCACCTCACAGTTTTGGGGAGGGAGAGGAAC